CTTAGATGACAACATTAGGATTTGAACCCAATTTGTTCTAAAATATTTGATCTTTTGTGAACTAAAACGATTAATTTTTTTAGAGAGCTTATTTTTTTGCTATAGGGTGTGAGTGCTTGCCAGAGAGACAGAAAGCGAGAAATCATCTCCCAGGGGCGATGGTCTGGCTGCAATCTCTTCTCTATTCCCCTCTCGGGATTTTGGGCATGCACATGCCCACACGTGTGCCTGGTGTGAGTTTTAAGACTACGTGGGAGTCCAGCGACATAATCATTATGCCATCTGTTTGTCTCTAATACAAGCATTTTTAACGGGTGAGACCTCAATTCCTCTTAGCCTGACCAAACTCGAAAGCAGTTTTAGAATTTTCTTCCATTCAAAAGATATTTGTAGCGAACACACCTCATATTAGGTGCTGAGGTCAGAACAGCGAAGCAGACAGGTGGGTCCCTTTCTTGAGGTGTGTAGAGGCTTGGAGGGTGTCTGGTAGCTCAGGTGTAGTCCAGACATGTGAGTTACCTGTGGCTGGGGTCAAGGGCCCAGGCTCACCCCACCTAAGTGCTATGCCACCATGTGTCCTTCAAAGGAGATCTTTAGAAGAGAAAAGAAAAAGACATGAGCCTGACAGATGAGCAGTATTTCTTACAGACGTTTAACTGCTGGGAAGGTGGGAAAACAAGTCTTAAAGTGGTAGCATCTTTGCTGAGGGTGAGTAAAAGTTAGACAGTGAGTGGGCGGGAGGGTGAATGATGATACCATTGTAAGACTGCTCCATGGAAGAGGAACAGCAAGCCGAAATGCGCGGGGGTTGGGGAAACAAAGACATTGGTTATTGCTATAGGACTGGAAGACATAGGAATGGGGAAAGAAGAGATGAAACAGAAGAGGTTAGAAGGTGAACAGCCTTGTTTACTAACTTGAGGTCTTTGAACTTGATCCTGTGGCCAGTGGGAAGCCATTGAAGAATCTAGGCAGGGAACAATAATAGAGGGAGCTTTAGTGACGTTGAGAAAGCCTGTCTTGTCTATAGGTGTGCCTAGAAGAATGTCTAGCATGTAGAAGGTGCTCGGTAAATGTGGCTTGCCTAGAAAACCTAAGCACACATTGCTGTGAGAACAACAGAAGGATCAATTGGCTCCTAATTTCTATGTTCTGCTTTTTCTTGACCCAGCAACTGACCTGAAACTAGTCTGGAAACCAGCATGATCAGAAACTCTGTCTCTCTCCCCCCTACATGAAAAGTAAGGCTGAGAGTATGATTAAATGTACTTTTGGGGGCCAGATAGTTTGGTTAAGGTGCTGACTCCCATATGGTTGACTCCGTGGTTCCAGTCCCAATCCTGGTGGCCTGAAATACACACCGGGTGTGCGTGTGTGCATGCCCAAAATCCTGAGAGGAGAATAGAGAGGGGATGGCGGTGTGGCCATCACTCCATGGGCATCTCCACTCTCTTTTGCTCTCGGGCAGGGGGATGGTGGCAACAAGGGGCTTTTTCTGCTTTTAAAGGCCTCTTTCCTGCTTCATAAGACATCTATCAGACCCCTTCATTTTTATATCTTTGATTTTTTTTAAAAAAATACTTTTATTTAAGTTTATTTACTTTTTAATTTGACTAGAGAGAGGGCGAGAAAGAGACAGAGACAGAGAGAAAGCAAACGAGAAAGCAGGCTCTCAGGTCTGGGACTCAAACTGTGGTTGGCCATGTGGGAGTCTAGTGCCTTTAACCACCATGACACCTGCTGGTCCCAGTATTTTTTTTTTTTTGGATTAAGTATTACTTACAGGACTGACGAAAGGAAACATTCTATCATCAGGATGCGCTCCAATGTCATTCCAGACCCCCTGGGCTAGGGCAACCTCTTGACATATCAGAGCAGGAAGAGAAGGAGGAAAACTCCATCAGAAGTGTTGGTATGTGGGACCTGCAGTTGGCGTCATAGCTATGTCGCTAGACTCCCATGTAGTCAACTGCAGTTTGAGTCCCAGACCTGGTGACTTAAATTCATACCGGGCGCATGTGTGTGTGTGCCCAAAATCCCGAGAGGAGAAGGAGGGAGAAGGGATTGAGGTATGGCCATCCCCCCTGGGGGGTGATTTCTCGCTTTTTGTCTCTCTGTCTCTCTTTGTCTCTCTGTTGATTACACATGCACGAGAGCAAAAATCATAAAAAAAAAAAAGGAAAGAAAAAAAGTGTTGGTATTCAATGTGCCACTGTTGGGGAGGCCATCTTTTGGAGACTGTAAAAGAGAGAGGGCCAGCTGGTGGAGTGGTGGTTAAGGCTACTGGATCCCTCCTGGCTGACTGCCAGGTTCGAGGCCTGGACCCAGCAGCTTGATAAACATGCCAGGCATGTGTGCATGCATGGCCAAAATTCTAAAAGGAGGGAGAAATGGAGGAGAAGGTATTGTGGCATGACTAATCCCCATGAAGGGTGCTTTCTCTCTCTCTCTCTCTCTCTCTCTCCTCTCTATCTCTCTCTCTTCTCTATCTTTCTCCAGTGAGCACACATGCACTCTGTTAAATTAAAAATAGAGAATTAAAAGGGGAGTCTTTGAAATGAAATAGCTCTAGGTTCCAAACTCCAGGCTCTGCCCAAATTAAAAATAGAGAATTAAAATGATATAGCTTTGAAATGATATAGCTCTAGGTTCCAAACTCCAGGCTCTGCCACTCACTACCATAGATGTATAGGAACTTTCTTAGTCTCTGTCTCAATTTTTCTCCCCTGCAAGATAGCCTGATCCATTCCATTCACAACATGAGAATGACATTAAAATAGAACAAGTAGGTGGATGGGAAGGAAGTGACAATTTGGAGTCTCTTGGTGCTTCTCCAGCTCCTTCTCTTGTTAATGTCCTTTCTCAGATGCACCTCAAAATTCTAAGCAGTAGGGACCACCGGATGGCGTAATGGTTGCATCGCTGGACTCCCACGTGGTCGACCTCAGGTTGAGTCCCAGACTGGTGGCTTAGAACTCATGCCAGGTGCACAAGCGTGCATGCCCGAAATCCCTGGAGAATGGAGGAGGAGGCATTGCAGCATGCTCATCTCTCTGGGGAGTGATTTCTCGCTTTCTCTCTCTGGTGAGCGCACGTGCCCTATAGCAAAAATATCTCTCTCTTAGAAGAAGAAAGAAAAATAAATAAACAAATCAATCAATCAAACAAAAAAAACCCAAAACACAAAAATCTAAGCAGTCAATGGAGTGTGCGTGTGTGTGCACGAGACAGAGAAAATACGGTTACAGTTATCTAATGCTTGTCTAAAATTTGACTAATCAGAACTTGTTTGATTGCAAGGGACAGAACCCGTTTCCTGTTGGCTCCATAACTGGGAAAGATAGGGGTGGGGTTGCTCTCAGCCATCCATCCATGGAGCAAGGCCTCCTTCTTTCTATCCCCCATGTAAACGTTCCCCCCACCCCCCACTGCCTGTATTATCCCTGCTGATGGGGGCTTTCTCCATGGTGGGTTTCCTGGGGGGGACAAAGTTAACAAGAAACTGTAAATTACTATCATCTCAGTTTAGCCACTCCCAGAGGAAAGAAAACCTTTCTCTATCCACCGCAGACCGTGGAAGAGCTCTGATTGGTTAGTGTTCACTTTGTGAACCAATCACTGTGGCCAGGAGATGGCATGGAATGCTGCACTTGTGCAGGCTGGAGTCACGTGACGCAGATGGCATGTGACTGTGGCCCTTGAGGGAGTTCTGTGATTGGTGTTCCGTGCGAAGTGTGTGGCGTTGGGAAGGAAGAGCTTCTTCACCACTTATACGTGCAAGGGGCACTTTTTCCAGATTCAAAGGTGGACAAGAGGCTGGGCGGGGGGCAGGCAACAGCAATTATTTTTGTCCCCACAGATACCCTCTTCCTCTCCTCTCCCTTTTCCCTTCCTCTTCCTTCCCACGCTGGTTAGGGAATGTGCCTGTGTTTGTATTTGGTAAACACCGGCAGTGCCAGGACCTGCTGCAGCTGTGGATCTTGATGGGGGAACCTGGGTTTTAGGCTCAGACATGTCTAGGATCAGATTCCAGCTTCTGCCTTCATTGGTTGTGCTACTCTGGGGAAGGTCCATGACCTCGCTGCACTTGAGTCTGTCATGTGTAGACAGGAGATTGCAGATCTGCCTGATGATCGTTGTGAGCATAAACTGAACTAAGTGGTAGCTACTGTGAGAGTAATTGCTCTGGGCCAAGCAGGTGGCATGGGGGGCAGTTAAGGTGCTGGACTCCCACAGGGCTGACTGTGGTTTGAGCCTCAGACCTGGCAGCTTGCTTTCTCGCTTTCCCTTTCTCTCTCTCTGGCCAAATTAAAAATAAAGACATAAACAATATTAACAAATAAAAATTAAATAATCCTTAAGTAACTATTTAGTAGTAGTATTATGTTTTAAATTGACCGGCAAGAGACAGAAAAGGAAAGTGAGAAAGCAAACCACCAGGTGCGTGAGTAGAACCACGGTCAGCCATGTGGGAGTCCAGCACCTTAACCACCACGCCACCTGCCGGCCCCAATAATTTTTTTTTTTTTTTTTTACTTTTTTGCTATAGGACATGTGCGCTTGCCAGAAAGACAGAGATAGAGACAGAAAGCGAGAAATCATCTCCCCACCACCCCCGCAGGGGGGGATGGCCATGCCGCAATCCCTTCTCCTCCATCCTCTTCTCAGGATCTTGGGCATGCACGCACATGCACCTGGCATGAGTTTAAGCCACTGGGTCCGGGACTTGAACTGTGGTCGACTACATGGAAGTCCTGTGACATAATCATTTCACCAATTGCTGGTCCCAATAAATAATTCTTTAACAAATGTTTAAAAACAATTCCAATGAAAAGAACAGGTTACCATTGGAAAAAAATTGCTGTCGTCCTGGTATCAGTTGTTCATATTTCGAGGACTGCCATAGGCCGTTAAAGGGTTCCACGCAGAGAACCTAAGAGATTCAGTGTTAGGGTTAGATTCGGGGTGATCTGACTCAATCCAGTGACTTCATTTCACAGAGGAAGCACCGAGGTCGCCCAGGCAACTTGACCTGTGCTGGTTACACGAGGCTGAACTGAGGAACTGCAAGACCAGTCTTTGCAGGAAGCCGAGCCTGGAGCCAGTGAGCCTTGCCAAGAGCTTTCAGAAATTACGAGGCCACAAAAATGCTTTTTGGCTTGAAGTATCCACGTGGGCCCCACCCATTTTACACAGAGGCAGACCTCTTCCTCCTCGCCACTGGACCTTACATTGCCAGACTGGTGAGTCTAAATCTATTTTTTTTTTAATACTTTGTTCTTGAAATAATTTAGGATGACTGGACCTTTCTATATGGAATTAGAGCTCTGAAAAACTAGGTTTATGGTGTGACCTTTTTCTAGTACCTACTAAGATGCTTCCTTTCCTTTCCCTTCTCCCCTCCTCTGTTCTCTCCCTAAGCCCATCCTTTCTCCCTCCCTCCCCCCTCCCTCCCTCCTCCTCTCCTCTTTCCACTCTCTTCTCTCTCAGCATTTAAACACACAGTGTCTTGTGCTAGGCCCGGTGCCAAGGGTGGGGTCAAAAAAATCACTCATTTGTACATTTACAGCATTTTTCAAGTTCATCTTCTCTGCCTGGCATTGTGCCAACGACCCTAGGCACTGGGGGTGCAGCAGAAAACAAACCCGATTTAGTTTCTTCTCTCACGACACTTACATTGGAGCGATTTCCCTCAGAGAACCTAGGATTTTAGTCTGGAGAGTGTCTTCAGTGAGAATGGCTGATGAGCGTAAGACCGGAGAGGTGAGGAGGCCAGAGCATGGTTAGGGGCTTGGCGTTTACTATGGGAAGGGGGAAGCCACCGCAGGGTTTTTTTAGCAGGTGAGGGTCACCCTGAGACTGATGTATGAAAGGGGATGTTGCCCCTGCCCGCCTCTTAGACCATCCAGCCTCACCTCTTCTGTACTCTCGGGCTCCTGTCTCTGACCTTTTCTCGTTTAAGGCAGGTGCTCTCCTTCGACTGGCTCCCGGCCTTTGCAGAATTGCTTCCTCCCACCTGGGAAACCCTCTCCCGGCCTCTGCCTCGATAGCTGTTCCTCCTTCAGTGTCCGCCTCAAATATGGGTTGCTTCGGGGGTGCTTTCTGATTCCGACTCACATCTTTTCATGATAGACTAAGACAGATCCCTGGTCCGATGTGCTGAGAAGCATGCAGTACCTACCTCTCCTGTGTGTAGTGATCTCAAATGGAAAGACACAATGAGTTGCCTCATTATCAACTGTTTCTGTGAGACTGTAAGCTCCATGCCGACAGAAGATGGGTCTGTCTTGTTCATTTTTACATTTCTGGCGGCCAAAACCATGCCTGGCACACTGAATGCACTCTAGGTAAAAATATTTGTTGAGTCAAAAAAATGAATGGGGGAGGAACAAATTGATGAACTATCGAAGGGGAGAATGAATGAGAGAGTGAATGAGCAAATCAATAAATGACCAAATGAATGGACAAGAGGGAATAAATGAATGAATGCCCGGCCAGCCACCCACCCACAGTGTTTGGCGTTGAACTAAGCCTAAATCCCTGCACCTGCTTTCTGGTTTATACATGCCATGGTACTGCCTCCCTTGACCTAGTCACTTACTGGCTTTCTCAACAGATACAAGACCTTATGAATCATTTACTGGTCTTATTCCTGCATGCTAAGTGGAAAATTGTTTCCATCCCCAAGTCTGCTCTCATCGATTGCTCATGGCTGCTTGGAACTGTAGCATTAAGAGGGGTTGGGAGGCTACTTTGGGCTTAGTGGAGAATGCTGGTATTGGTTTGCAATGGCCGCCATGGATGCCTTCGGGGAGATGGTATCAGCTCTTCTTCCTGTTGGTTATCTTGGTCTTGTGGGGCAGTTGTCCCCTGATGGTGTGACTCCTTTGAATCCTAAAACCAATTTCTCTCTCACACTTAGGAAAACCCAGTGCTGTTTTGGCGTCTGTGCTGACCACACGTGTCAGTTTGGTGGGTGCGACTTGGCCTGTGGCATATGTGGGTTCTTTGTTTCCCTAGTTCTTTTTCTTTTCTTCCAACTCTGGTTTTTGACAGACTTGATCACAAGCCTCCTGAGGAACCACTTAGGCCCACCTGGAAAACGAAATAGACAAATCTAACAGATTATTTTGTTGCGTGGACAGAAATCAGAAAGGAAGTCAATTCCACAAGGAGAATTGCTCTAAATGCAGTGTCGGACCGGCTGCCATTGAGTCATGGGGGCAGCTACTGGCTAAAAAGCCACTCCTGTCAACTCACCTCCTTCCCTTCCTTCTCAGTTTGGCACCAGAAGGTGGGATCATCAAAACAGGCGGTGAATGAGGTCTGGTGAGGACAGAGTTGACATCCCTGGTACTGTAAAACGAGCCGGGAGTAGAGGGAAGTCGAAGCTGCTGGTTGCTAGCTCTGACCAGCAGTTCCCAGTTTCCTTCAGCCAAATCCTACTGTGCTTTATTTTTAGCAGAGGGCAGTGGAAAAGGCAGTGAGCTAGCAGCACCAGGAGACAGATTTCTAGACCTGGCTAGGCTGGTTGCCAGGGCATGAGTTTGAGGCCTCAGTTTCTTATCTGCAGTACGAACTGAATAAATGAACACCGTCACCATTCTCCCCTTCCCTGTTAAAACCATCACCACTCTTGTGGTCACCGTCACCCTATCATTACCATCATCCCAACCACCTTCCTCCTCACTGTGATTACCATCGTCCTCCTCACTGTCGCCATCACCGTCACCAACCATCTTCACCACATAGTCATCACTATCACTAGCCTCACCATCACTATCACCATCATCACCATCCCCACCATCATCCTCACCACCAACCAGCGTCACCATTATTGTTACCATTATCATTCGCCAAACTCTGCCATCATCATAATCACCTTTATTCGAGGGACAACATACTGAGCACTCGCCATGTAATGGACACTCTGCTGTACACTGTCTAAGCAGGTTATCACGTAATCCTCTCAACAATCCTATGAGGTAGGTATGAATGTACTTTTATATACCATGATCCTGGTTTTCTAGAGGATGACATGGAGGCATGCAGAGACAAAGCCCTACTTCCTCAGGGAGTGTGAGCGCCTGAATGAAACCCAGCTAGTTTTGTTCTCAATAAAGTCACAAAGCCTTTCCTGATCTCTTAAGGCCCATTCTGGGTTTAAAAAGGAAAAAAAAAAAAAAAACAATTCTGAGTGTCTTACAAATTTTGCTATCCTATGGGTGCAGCCAGAATATCTGATGCTTGTTTAAATGCATGGGTCTTGGCAGGACCAGGAGTGTTAAATGGTAAGGCTGTTAGAGCATTGTCCTGACTTAGTCCAGGGGAAATGAGGCTCCGAGGGACGAGTCTCGCCGTGGCCAGGTATCGGATGTTGTTCAGTCTGTGATGCCAGCTCTCCTCCAGGAGGGAAAAAAATGAGCAACAAATTTCTCGGTTAATTTCCCCTCCGCTCATAGAGAAGAAAAATTGGAAAGCAGGGTTTAGAATCCATGGATCAGGGCCAGCAAGTGGTGTAGTGGTTAAGTCGTGGACTCCCACAGGGTGGACTGTGGTTTGAGTCCCAGACCTGGTGATTTGAAATTCATGCCAGATACGTGTGTGTATGTGCCCAAAATCCTGAAAGGAGAATGGAGGAGAAGGGATTGTGGTACGGCCATCCCCCTGGTGGGTTGGTGGGTCGGTGTGTGTGTGTGTGTGTGTGTGATTTCTCTCTTTCTGTCTCTCTGTGTCTCCTACAAGCACATGTACACTGTAGCAAAAATCTCTCAAAAGAAAAAAAAAATGAGAATCCATGGGTCTAGGTTCAAATTCTGTCTATTATTGTATGATCTTAATTGATAAATGGCTCAACGCTCTAGGCCTTAGTTTTGTTACCCGTAAATCGGGAATCATAGCTCCTGTCTCTTTGTATGACCCCAGAACTATTGTTTTGTCAGAAAAGTCATGATGCATTTTTGCATAGAAAAATAGAAAACATAATTTATGACTTTTCCGACAACCCAATAAGTAAGATAGTATGTTCAACGTGCTTAGCATAGGCCGCTATAGGCTGCTATGTAGTGACTATAAAACTATATTATTATTATGCAACATAGATGATAAAGATATATAGACTATATTACTATGCCTTCTGTTAAATTATCTACCTCTTACAGCGGTTTTTCTCTACACATCTTACTCTTACCCCTCCTTGACGCTGTTCTACTGGGAAGAAAAGGCTTACTATAAAGTGAACTGAACCCTGAATTCTCTTTTTAACTGGGCTGCATAATCCCAGTGCAGCTAGGTATTGCCGGAGTTAGATAGACAGGTGCCTGAAGGAGTCTTCTAACTTGTGTCTGTTTGAGAAATTGCCCCCCCCCCACTGCCCAAGTCAAATTATTAATTAGTTGCCTTATTGACTAATTGCTAAGCACTCAGTCAAATTGAGTAACCAATCCAATTTGAACAGGAGAACAGTGACCAGCTTTGGTTCATCCATTTTTCAATGGGGTGCATTTCATTGTCTGGAAAAGAGACTTGAACTAAGGCCTCAAAACCTTGCTTCAACAAGGGAAGTACACGGGCAGTCATATTGGGATGTCTGTTTCTCCCTCGACTTGATTTCCTACAATAAAAGAAGAGGAAAACAAAACCCCAAACACCTCCCAGCTTAGAAATGAGAACAGTTGGAAGCACTGAATTGTAAGGTTAAATATTCAATACTGAATACCTATGCTGTGTCAGGTGCTTTTACCCATTAGGTGCCTTTATGTGATTCACTTACATAGTCAGATCAACAAGAGGTCAGGAATAGAAGAAAACAGGTTGTCCGAGAAAAAAAAAATTTTTTTTTTTTTTTGAAATATCTCTATTTTGATCGCGCTCCGTGCCTTGAAGGGTTCCCACATGTTTTTACAAACCACTTCTCTGACATCTTCCAGGATGACTATTGCTGCTGTTTTAAAGGGAGGGATACTCAGGTGCAGAAAGCCGGAGCTGTTTGCAGAAGAACGACAAACACTGTTGCCTTGGCAAGGATCTTAAAACAGCCTCTGAGAGCGAAACAAAGAGAACGCGGCTAGGCGTTTGTCAACCTGGCTGCGGGGACAGGCACTTTCTCTTTCCTTTTTGGGTAATACCGAAGGGACAGTTGAGCTGTGGGGACCAGGACAAGAGTGAAAGAGTCCTCTCCATTCCTCCATGGGAGTGGCACCGAGGAGGGTGGCCCAAACTCCAGCTCCCTCTCTGAAAATCCTCTTAGGGGAAAAGCAAAACAAACACAGCATAGAAAGTTGGCTTTTCATTTGGGGGGGATTGCCGGGCACCACCCCTCCACCCAAAACATGCTTTTGATTTGGTTTTATTGGCTAGTGAAAAGAATCATTTAATAGTCAAGAGCCAAGCAGTGACAAAGGGCTTCAGGTAAATTAGTTTCAGTTCTGACGTAGACTGTCCTCCTCCTTTGGAACTGGAGCTTTAGAAAATAAAGCCTCCTTCACCACTTATTCCCTCTATCCTCTTTATCCCTAAGCCTTTTAAAAAGGATTTTTCTTCCCCTTTCTAAATCTCTTCAAGAAAGGGTTTCTTTTCTTTCATACAGAGGGGTTGGGGAATTAAATTCACCAAAATATCCCAACATCCGTGCATTCGGAAAATTCAATGAAATCTAAATTAGGTGCATTAAAAAAAAAAAAAGTTGATTTTTTTTTTTTCTTTCTGGACCCTTAAACTATGCAGAAATACACAGAAAGAGCTTCAAAGCCCATTTTAATAACTAACTACTCACCTGCTGAAAGCATTTACTCACAGTTCCCGCTTTCACCCCAGCCCCAAATGTTTAAAAGGCAGTTAAAGTTTAAGCTTTTAGTCCCCGAAAATACCAACAATCACTTGCACCAAAGCCGGGTCCATAAAACCTACAAGCCCAGTTTTCCATTACTTTGTTGTAATTAACAATCCCGTAGGAAATTCATGATCTCCAGTCCACAAATGGTGTGGGACCAGAGCGTTGAAATACTTAGAAAGGTCTCCTTTCTAAAGGATATTAGGTCCTATCATTTGATTTGGTAATTAAAACTTTATCAAAGGTGTGACTCCCTGATGGTTAATGTATTTCTACACACAGCCCCAAATAAATCTATTGACACTTTCGGGTAACCCTCCACACCCCCAGTTCTCTACCTTTTTATTCGATCCATGGTTTTCATTTTCCTTGCTTTTTCTCCTTGTTTTCTCTGAGCTCAGACCCCTCATGATTCTATGAGTCTTCTCTCTGCCTAAATACTCCTCTTACTGAAAAAGGAATTCAGTTTCTTAGGGAGCCCATCAGTCATTGGGTTTAAAATGCAATAGATACATTTCGGGTGATGTGAAGCAAGGACTAGCATCGATGTAAAATATAATGGGGAAAAACAAAGAGAAGGGGGAAAAATTGGCAACTGGTCTAAAACCAGCTAATGTTAAAATAACAATTCGATGTTGAGACATGAGAGACTGGCAGTCCGGAAATTTGAGGTTCACCCAGACATTCTGGGCTCTTAACTCTGTTGTCGGTTAAGAGGTACAATAGTGTGAATTTTTAGGCAAGCGTCAGTTGGACTTTGAATTTCCTGGGTTTTTGTTGGATCGTATCACAGTGAAACATTATATTCTTTTTCCCCAAATATATATCTAATTTCCTTTACAAAGAGCAAAAAAAATATGTTTCCCACCAAGTTGCAAGAAAACATGTCTTATCTTTCCCAGTAGGGCATCATCTATTATTGGTTTTGTAGAAAACTTTAAAAAAAAAAAAATGCCCAAAACAATGTTCTAAAGCCATTTATTGTGTTTTGTCAGATGAAAAAAAAAAAAAAACTGATTCTGATTTATTATTTCATGTAGATATTATGTAGATGTTCATGTTTGACATTTCCTGAGAAATATTTCCGTCTCTGAGGTCTTTAAAAAAAATGCATTTTTAAAAATACTTCGTGTGTGTGTGTGTGTGTGTGTGCGCGCGCGTGCGTGTGCGTGCGTGTGCGCACTGGCAGATAGATGATGAGTGTTTTTAAGGTTCTTCATATTTAAGATGTTTATTAACTTAAAAGAGTTTACTGGGACATGATGAACTTTATAAAAGACACATTTCTTCAGCGCCAATTGCTTCCAATAGTCCTTTTTAGGGCCATTTTTCTATTCTTTCTATAATTACAGAATGTTTTAAATACAAGTAATTATACCTTGACGTAGCTTGTGATTTAAATGGACCTTTGAGGATGACAGGAAAGTGGTTTCTGCCTTTCGTAGTTCCATAAGATCAAAAGCAGTTCAAAAATAAGGGGTACAACTGGATTTGTTATTCTTTCAAAATCAGCCATAAATATAGACCTTTTTCGAGGGGGAGAGAAGGGGTGGGTGAAATTTCAGATCGGAACGAAGTTATAATCCACATCAGGAAAACCGGCCCTTTAATGAGAGAAATGAAAAAGACTTAATCACCAAAACCCCTCCAAAATGACACTTCAAATTACATCAGAGCTCTCCGCAGTAAAATGCCAAAGGAGAGCCTTTCATGTGAAAAATGAAATACTTAATGATTTCAGTGAGTTCGTACCTTCCCAAAATTGAGATCCGCAGAACGCACTCAGTGCCTGAATTTCTTTGATATCTTTAAAATATTTACGGAAAGAATTTTTTTTCCTCTTGCTCTCCTCCCCCCCGCCCGTTTCCACATGAAGATATTGTGTCTTCCCTGGAAGAACTGGGACAGCAGAGAAGAGCCATGTCATTATAGAAAACACCAAATGACAATTCCAAGTTGAGACCATTCACGTTTGGGTCTGTGTCAGATCTACCCAGGAACAGAAAGCTTAAGACATTTTTTTTTCTCTCAATTGAGTTTTAATGATTGACTGCATTTTGTATGAAAAAAGAAAAAAAAAAAAGGAAATACTTTTTTTTTTTAAGAAAAAAAAGGTTCAAATTTAAAGAGCGAGCCTAATGAACTAGTTAACATTCTTACTATCAGGAAAGTCTAAATCATTCATAAATAAACAATTTAAAACCACCTTTACCCACATGCACACGTTCTTTCTTTCAGCTCCTTTAGCAATTTGGAGTATAGGAGATTAAAGTCTTTTGGAAATTTCCAAGGTCAGACCTCAACTAAAATAGGATTAAGGGGGTAAAGGGAGAAGAAAAACGTGAAGAGAAAGGTTGTATTTCCCCTGTTTCCCTGTCCCCCCTTCTAACAGTCTGAAATAAATCGGAAGTTATTTCTCCAAACCCCCCCACCCACACCAGCTCTTCAAAGGTTCTGCGATTGTTTAAAATTTTTCCTATCCCTTCCCCAAGAAAAACAAGAGTAAGGAAAAGTTAAAGGTTGACGTTTGGGTCCCTTCCAGGCCATACGCCAGGGGGCACTGTGATATCGGGAACTTTCGCTTAAAGCGGCTGCTGGTTTGATCATTGCTGAAAGAAGAAGAAAAAAAGTCTCCAACTTTGCAACCATTTTCTCTTCAAACGTTCCAAACCAGTATTCCAACAAAGGAAATAAAAAGGGGAAACCGACTAGTTTTCCCTTTTTCTTTCTGTGTTCCATCCGTGCTATTTAATTTCTGCACCAAGGACTTCTAGCTTGGAATAGGAAAATACACCAAGATAAACCAGAGTTCCTGCCCACAGTTCTGTCTCCCGCTCTCTTTTTTCCTTCTTTTTCCCTCCCTTCCTCCGTCCTTCCTTTTCCCCCTCCCTCTGTCCCTTCCCTCTTTCTCATCCCTCTGTATAAATAGTTTCTTGCTTTTTCCTTTTTCCTTCCCATCTCCTTTCCTTCTTCCTCTCCCCTCTGCTGCCTCCCTACAAGTAAACAACAGCAACGACTACGACGTTTCCCCAACTACCTTGGCTGCATTTGTTCTTGTTCTTAATTTGATCCATTCTTTTAAAAAGTCATCTTGGACGCTGCTTAGCTTTTCATTCATCAGATTTGAGCTGGGAGTGCTGCCTTACAGTACATTTTCATAGATCTTAACAGTAATTATGGAGGGACTTCAAAGCAAAACTATTTCCATGCGCTCTCTCTCCCTTTTCACCCCCATCTTTCTGTTCTCGTTCTTTCTCCTAACTTTAGTAAACCCAAACAAAAAATCCTTTTCAAACAGGGCAGAAAATTGTGTTGAAATTAACGGCTGGTATTTTCGAATATACGGCGATTGCAAACATCTCCCCAAATTTGTGTGTGTGTGTGTGTGTGTGTGTGGGAATAATAAAAGGACCCTATAAAGAAAGTGAAGTTCTTATTTGACTAGTTTCCATTAAAAATGTTTTTGATCGTGCTTAAAATTTTTCCATCTTAGACCAGGAGCCATAAATTTACCTGCCATGATAAAAAGAGAGGCCAAGAGATACATTTATTAAATTAGAGCCTGCCCAAACCCAATCTGCTTTTAACCTGCTCTCGCTGCTAACGCGAATGACTTGGTCTTAGCAAATTTGTGCCTCTGGAAAAGCTATTCGATAGCACATAGTAAACAGTGTAAATGAAGCTTCTTACGTATGAAATATTAGCAAAACAACCTCCTGCTCCATTCTGGCTTTGTGTTTGTCATAGTTAGAACTGGGCTGCCAGTTTTCAAGGAAAAAACATCCATTCAATAAAAGAGTGAATAGCAAAGCTGGCTATTTCATTGACGGAATGTTTTCCAGGGATTTTGACTTTATTATAAATGAGGTTTTATCTCAGAAACTAAAAATATGAGAAAGGAAGGAAATCAACGAAGGGGCTGAAAATACTAGGAAATATTAACCAGATCCTCTCCTTGCAGAAGGATCTAGAGCTTGGAGATGTGCATGGAAGCCCAAATGCAGCACAAACAAAAGGAACTGTTAGAATCCAAAGACCTGCTCCGTGTAGCGACTTACACAGAGTCAGCCAGACCAGCCACCGCTTCCAGGGTGGGCATTTCCGAGTACGGCAGATCCAAACGCGCATGTGTATGTGAAGTCTGTCTTATTTTCCACGTATTTGTCTACTACATGTACATAGTCGTTTGCTTAGGAAAACTTCCACGTGCTACAATTAGAAAGAGATTCTTTTTTTTTTTTTTTTTGGTACATTATTAACATACTTCCTAGAGAATATTGCAAATAAAAACATGCTATCTATTTTCTTTTTATAAAAGAAGTTGTATCTCTATCAATTTCGATCACTCATTGTCTCATTGGAAATCGGAGGGAAAATAGGCAAAATAAACTCTAAAGAAAGATTTGTGGGTGTGGGATTATCTGTGTTCTAAGAAGAGACAAAATGATTTAAAAAGGAGAACCCCCCCAGTGTTCGTTTTTTTTTTAATGGACTACAGAAATCTAATAGCCTAGCCAAAAGGAAATGAGCCTATTTGATCCTATGTGGATAGACTTATTTTCATGTGAAAAGCATCAACTTAATCACTAAATATACCTGCATGAGTTGTACTCTTGCTCCTGTGGAAATTGATTCGGTCAATTCTGTTTGATTTTTCTTCTTTTTTTTTGGACTTTGTTGTGTTACGGTCTTGTAAACTTGCCGAGGATCATAAATCCTTTTGCACACTGTGATATAATGGTGTAGGAGTCCGAATTAAGAGTGCATAAAACTGGAGTTCCAAAGAGTTTATTATTACTATTGATTAAAATAATACAGTAACAATACTAGTCATAATGAAAGCAATAATAATAGCAGCAATTATTAGCAGAGTCAATTTCTTCCAGATTTCTGAACTTGCCTTAAAAATCTAAAAGTGAAGGAAAAAGAAAAAGTAAATGAGAAAGAGGCTTTATTTCTAAATGCCTATTCCCCAATAATGGAATAATGGGATACTAATACAGTAAAAATAATGCGTTCTCTTGCCTGAAGCCATACCATCAAATTCTTTCGGCTGCTTTGAAATGGGGCAGACAGGGCAGTGTGAACGGAGGCAGGAAGTTGTCTTATAAAAACAGCCAGCAGATGGCACTCAAGCCCCTGATTCCTCCTCTTGGGCCCGATTTGAGTGTCAGTCTTTCGGATAAGACTTTTGGGGGCAGATTTTGGATTGCGAACAATACTGTCAAGAGACACAGAGAAGAAAGAAGGTATTTAAGTCAAGGAGCTGTATTTGGTGGTTGTTTGGGCTGGCCAGCTTTTGAGAACCTTGCTAGAGCGAAAGGAACCATTATCTTGCTGTGGGTGTATTTTGGCCTGCCACACCATCGGACTGAAAATAAGATGACGTTGCTCTAGGATTATCCAAATCCTTTCAGGCATTTATAAAAAAAAAAAAAATGGGTTCATTGGTTACGGGTGTAATTACAACACCTTCCCATGCCCTGTGGTAATGAAAAACATTTTGTTCTTCTCAAATCTTTTAACCAACATTTCTGTTGAATAGAAATCCTTACAGTGAGAGTGGTAGAGGGAGGGAAATCAGAGATGGTCAAGTGTGGGTGTGTGTTTGCATACTTGCGTGCATGTGTGCGACTTTGTTAGAAATGGGGAAGGCAGTTGACAGGCAAATATTGGGTCATTGGGAAAGTTGTCATGCGTTTTTACATTAAAAAAAAAATAAAAACATAGGAAAATATGTCATGGCTTTCCCGACGACCTATACAGTGGTCGAATGACAAGGATACTGGGTAAAGGCCGAAGCGAGATGTATCAGCAATGTCGAATCATTATTTGAGTCAAACCTGGGAATTGGGAATGTGTAAACCAAGGAAGGCGTTTTCTTCCCCGTATCTCAGGGTGAAAGGCAAGGGAGGGAATTTATAATTTAGATGCCAAAATGCTATCATTTCTGGGACAACTGACGATTTTATGGAATCTTTGCTACAGACCATCTGAAGTTGGAACAGCCTGCCAAATCTAGGGGTATTTGGCCACCACAGTCTAGAGAAAGGGGGGGAAAAAAGGAAGTTTTCATTTTCATAGAGGCTTCAAGGTCTTCATAACATAGCTTCCAAGTGCTGTAAAAACCTCAATGAACTGGAACCCAGCCAGTCAGAGCCAAAGAGGCAAGGAACCAGGAAACAAGTAGCTATCAGGAATGTATTAACAACAGAAATAACAAAGCCCTTCATGATATATCCTGAAGTCGACAGAGACCAGTTCTTCGTCTCTTTTGCACTTTCTGTGGCTCTCAATGTAGGCGAGACAGAAAACCCCATTTTGGTTGATTCGACGTATTGTTTTACGATTACAAAATTCAAGTTAGAAACAATGGTCGACCCACGCCCTCCCTCAAGAACGAGTTTACTCTAACCCTGGAATAACTGGTGCTTTCTAATGATCATCTAATTTAAGCTGCATAAAAGTTGACTAGAGAGGGTTATTATTATCTCACTTTATAGACAAGAAACCCAAATCTCGGGTTAAATCATTTGTCCAAGATCATACAACCTAAAAAAGCCAGAGACCAAGGACTCGGGAGAATGCAATTCATTTTCACTCGGAGTCTTTAAGCACGATTTGGGAGCATACTTTTTGAAGCAAATGAGGATTCTCCATTAAAGAGAAAAACGCACTGAACCACATGTTCCCTTGCACCTTTTCTAGAGCAACGTTCTAGAAAAGATAGAAGATTTAGAGTCCAGAAAATGGAAGGACAGACGTAGGGTCCTAAAGAGATGCCAGCCACTTAGATGGAGCCCCAGAGAAGCCAGTGAGTCCTGTACACCAGTGGCTTTGCATCCCGCTGTCACAGAACAGAACATCAAAACCTGTGTCCATGACGAAGGGCCATTTTGGACAGAGCCAGCCAAGGGTCACATAAAGTTTCCCTGAGGCTCAAAATCAGGAGGGAAAATATTCTTCCCCTTTTCAAGGCTCCCTGCCATGTCTTCCCCCAACACCCCTGTCTTTAATTACTCAGCCTGGCTCTTTGGCAACTGCTGGACAGAAATACAACTGGAGCTCAAGCCAAGGTCAGAGAACTTTCCTGTCCAAGAATTTCTGTCTTCCCACCTTCTTTGCCTTCTCTCCACCCTGACCTTCTCTGTGACTTTGACGGCTCATTCCAAGTGACTTGTCTTAGAAGCCAAATTTACTGGTAAAAGCTCTGGGACCAAGTTAGCTTGCCTGGAGAGCTGCAAGCAGACCTGTTTGGCTAGAACTGGTTTGTAGGTACAAGTTAATTGCTTTGTTGGGACAGTAGTTAGGGAGAGCCAGTCTTCTGTGCACCCTGGGGTTGGGGGTAAGGGTTGGGCTGTCATTGCCCTCATTAAAATGTTTAGTACTCTGTAATTCATGCATTTTTAAAGAAGATCCCTCCCTCCCCCCCTTTATTCATGGTGAGTGCATTTGGGTGTATGTGAGTGTGTGTGTATGAGAGAGACAGACAGACAAGAGGGCGGACCTTCCCATGGCCTGGATCTACCGCGAGCCCCATCGTCCAGTCCTCCAGCCCATCAGCTTTGGGGCAGTCACCCAGCATGTTTCTGGCTGACCAGGTTGGGGATTTGAACCATGGTGCCACATGGGATTCAGCATCTTTTGAGTAGCTTCTTAGTGTGGAGCCATGGGCTGGCCCCCCAACCATTTTAATAAGAAAAATTAAACTTCTTTCTACCTAGACAGTATGTTTCCCCTTCCACTCTGCTGCCATTTATGTGGTTATCCTCTTCATTCAACAATTCTTCATTGAGATTCTGAGTTTCACCCTTAAAGGATCCAGGTTTGGTGAGGGATGAGGTTGTAAAGAGGCATTTATACCGAGCACCATCTGTGCTGGAATGGGGCTAGACTGTATTCGCACAGACAGAGGCACTGAATTCTTCCAGTGGCAGGTAGAGGGAAGGAGCAGGGCAGGCTTCCTGGAGGAGGTGACATTTAAGCTGAGATCCAACACTGAGGAGAATTAACCAGGGGAAGAAAATGGGATTCAGGATGTTTCAGGCAGATAGACAAGCACATGCAAAGCAGTTCACGGTGAAAGGAAGCAGCAAGATGTTGGAAAAAGTAAAGGATTCTCCCACTGGAGCCCAGAGGGTCAGAACTGGGGTCCGAGGAGTAGGTGGGGGCTTTGTGAACCTAAGGCGTCCATTTGTTATCCAGACGCAGGAACGGGGAGTGGGTGGGGACTGTGGAACTATGGAAGGCAAGAGATTGATTCCACCAACTCCGACTATGACAAAACAGATACGGAGAACCATGTTTCCTTATTTGAGATATTTTTTGCTGTAGGGTGCGTGCATTCACCGCAGAGACAGAAAGTGAGAAATCACTCCCCAGAGGGGATGGCCATGCTGAATCCCTTCTTCTCCATTCTTCTTTCAAGATCTTTGGCATGTACTTACATGTGCCCAGTGAGTTTTAAGCCACCGGGTCCAGGACTCGAACCGCAGTTGACTACGTGAGAGTTCAGCCACGTAACCATGACGCCATCTGCTAGTCCCAAACCATATTTTATTAAGAGGTGTCATCTTCTAAGCTATTGCCGCCATCTCTGTCCATAGCTGCTGCCGTCCCAGGCTCTGCGTTGTAACAATCAAACTAAGGCAGAATGTAAGAGCCAGACTGTCCATCCCGGTAGCCACAGAAATACAGGAGGAAATAAACCAACCCAGTGAGACAGTATCTAATGTTCTGTTCTTGGTTCTATTTTCGGGAGGGGAAGTTAGATCTCAATGAGAAATGATTCCTGGCACTTCACTGTGAGTAGCCTACGTTGGCAAAATAATTTTTTTTTTAATAGATAGATTTTTTTTCCTCCTCCCAAAGAGGACTTTACACTACAAGTATCTTTTTTATTTATTTTTTTTTTTACAAAGAGAAATATCTTGCGTGTTGTGAACGATTTCTTGTCCGCTGGGCTGTCCTTCCCTAATGCAAGTAATTGGGGGAGAAAGGTCTGTGGAGCATATGCTTTGATGTTGGGGGGGAAGGGGAGACCTTTTCAACCAATGTCCGTGGCAGGCACAGT